GAATAAAGTGATGTCTTATATCTATGTGTTTTGTGCAAGAATGTTGAACTGGATTTTTTGAAATATCAATCGCACTCTTGCTATCACAATATACAGTTAAGAAATCACTATGTCGACAATAACTCTCAATCATTTGATTTATCCGTAAAAGTCGACAACAAGAAAAATTTGATTTCAAATCATGCAATGACACCATATTATTAACAAAAATTCTCTCGAAAAGATTATCATTAACATTACTGAAAACACCGCATAGCTTTCTTACCATTAAATGAAACAATCTACCATTTGTTACCTCACCAAAGGATCGCGACAAAGGTGGAGATCTACGAACTACTCTTCTCCGATCAGGAACATCATCATCAGATCTTGTCTCAGCCTCAGAAACGGTATTTTGCTCGTCAGAGATATGTGTCGCTTCAGATGCTGTGTTTGGTGCTGTGTCAGGTGTCATGACATCTGGGGCGACATCAGGGACGACACCTGGAGCAGCACTACATAGTGGAAGGTCCATCAAGTCCCGAATGTCATCTTCAACATTTTTGACCCGATAACAGTTTTGGGTAGTTCGTACACCTCACAAAATACATGAATTAGCTTCATCAAAAACTTCACAAAAGTTACGATCAAATTTAACATGAAGGTTATCATCACATAATTGGCTTATGCTAATAAGATTAGCCTTAAGTCCTTCAACCAACAACACATTTTGAAGCTTTGGGAGACCATCAACATTGAGTGTTCCCCGTCCTATGATCTTTCCGTGTTCACCTCCTCCATATGTAACACGCCCACCTTCACAGGGTTCTACATTGGATAAGAACTCACGAGTGCCGGTCATGTGACGCGAGCACCCACTATCGAAGTACCAAGATCCTGCAATGTTAGACTTCAAAGATGTCTGAATTACATTGCATTTCAAATCAGATTTCGGAACCCAAACAAACTTTGATTTATTTTTAGTTCTAGTTCCGTGGTTTATGGACATATTTCGGGACACAGGAGGGACCACTGGTTCAAAAGACCTATCAAATGAATGCAATTTATAACAATAAGGTCTAATGTGCCCGGGTGCATGACAATAATGGCAAACATACCGACGCCTTCGTTGTATGGTATTCTTAAAAACCTTAGGCGTGGATTTTGAAAAGGACTCACATGTTTCCTCTGATGGCGAACAAATATAGTAGGCTTAAAACCAAGTCCTGCTTTTTTATGATTATGTTCAAGAGCAGCTAGGACATCCAATTGGCTCTTACCGGTGTTAAGTCGTTGAAAGGTCTGACGGGAGTATTCAAGTTCCTCTCTTACCTTCACCAACTTTTGGTCATGACCAGAGATTGTCACCTCCAATTGGGTTATGGTTGATTTTAATGCATCATTCTCCTCTTCCGATTTTTTAGCCTCTGACTTCATCCTCTTATTCTCATCATTTAATTTATTGTTCTCTTTCTCGAGCCTATCCGCTTCCCATACGGCATCTATAAAGCGTTTATGAAGTTCCACGTACACTTCTTCATGATCTTCAAACCTAACAAATTGAAGGCTACTCGGAGGACCTAAATCCCTGCCTGAAGCATCACAAAACAAGGAGTTAAAGCAAAAAATTCAGAATTTTCATTTTCATACCTGCCAGGTGTCATGACACTTCGGGCGACGCCTCGGCCGACACCTGCTGGATCAATTTGTTTGGGCCTAAATTCACTGACAGTGGTCACAAAGGCAGCATCTCCATCATTTTCAGCTTCACTTTCAGAGGATCCGTCATCAAATTCTTCATCATCGCTCAAAGTGGCGCTGAAGTTCAAGCCTCTTTTGCGCAAGGTATTAGCACACTCATTTGCATAGTGCCCATACCCTTTGCAAGCATTGCATTGGACGGTCTCGAGTGACTTTGGAGTGAACTTTCTCCCATCATTGAGTTTCGCCTTTTCACCGATTGGATGCGATCGATTCGAATGAGGTGGAGTAAATGGCCTTGGCATTCGGGACCTCGAGGCTTGGGAGTTGTTTTGAGAATTTTTTCTCTTTAGCAAAGATGTGAAGCGTCTCGTCATGTGTGCAACTCCTTCTTCATCAAACTCATTTTCCTTCATATCACGAACTAGATTCTCCAAGTTATCACCATCTTTAGTGACCGAATGAAGGGCGATCCCTTTTCCTTTCCCGAACGATGCACTTTTTTCTTCAAGATCCTGTACCTCAAGATTCATTTCGAACGTCTTGAGAGTGCCAACAAGGTCATCGAATATAATGGCTGTCACATCCTTCGAGACATCAAGCGCCGTGATCATCATATTGAAGCGCTTTGGAAGAGATCTCATCACTTTTGCCACGAGTTTTTCATTCGAGATCGGTTCTCCAAGAGAGTAGCACTCATTCGCTATATTCATCAACTTGGCCGTGTATGACGAGATATTCTCATTTTCGAGCATCCGAATTGTCTCGAATTTTGCTGCAAGGAGTCGCAGCCTCGTTTGACAAACACTCTTCGAACCCTCACAATGACGTTGCAAGGTGTCCCATGCATCTTTGGCAGTAGTGCACATGCTAATTAAGCGAAACATGTTCTCATCGACCGTGCCAAAAATTGCATTGAGTGCTTTTGAATTGAAGTTGGCCAACGAGGTCTCACTCGCACTATACTAAGCTTCATTTTTCTCGTGTTTCACCCCTTCAACTTCTTTGGTAGGAGGCTCCCATCTGATAAGTACAGATAACCAAGCACGTCCATCAATGGATTTAATGTAGGACGTCATACGCATCTTCCAAATGGTGTAATTTGAGCCATCGAGAATTGGAGGCCGAAAAAGCGAAGTTCCGTTGAACTCCATGTGTACCTATCAAGACAGAATCACACTTATTAAATTAAGTGACCCGCTCCGATGCCACTTGTTAGAATTTTAGGTACGTAAATATCCAGATTTTGACACAAAGATTAGAAATTAAAATACGCAGCGGAAAATAAATATACAAACGATTCAAAAAATTAGTCTACAAGTTAAAATACTTGTAGACTAAGGTCACATGCCAAAAATTCACTAGAACAAATCAATTGTAGAATTTTTCATCCAATCCAAAAACATCTACTGAACTACGAAAAACAAAACGCGAGTTTAAACGAGATGCTCTCTATCAAATCAAACTATCAAAAAGCGAATAACAAAATAATCCCAAGAGAATGACGAATGAATAGTAAAAGAGCTCATCTTGCTCGTCCGTGTTCTTCCAAAAAATTGCCGCACGCTAGTGATCCACGCTGATGCTTCAGTAAAAGGAAAACAAAGAGGTGTATTGTTTTTGTGTGTGATTAGTCCTGCGCAGAAGCTTCCAAATCGCAAGCCCAAAATCTATTTTTTATTTGTTGCTTCTTCTTTTTCTTTTAAAACCACACATATGCACTAGCCTTTGCTTTTTCCTCAAGTCTTGACCAATTTCCCGCAGCCGTCTAAAATCAAGAGTCCCCAAAATTCAAAAATCCTTGTTGCCTTTTATTTCTTTTCTTTTCCTACTGATACCTGTTCAGATAAGGAAAAAGATTAACACAATATTATTGTACTAAAAATAAACACCTAATATAAAATAAAATATATATAAATACACAAAAAAAAAATTAGAAAAGCAAAATAAAAGATATGTTAAAAATACATAAAATATGTATTCAACAATCTCCCCCTTTTTGCTTTTCTGACAAAACCAAACACAATCTAAGACACCATATAAAAAAGATAAGGAAGAGAAACGCAAACAGTGATAAAGTCGAGCACTCGACGATCTCCATCTCCTCCTTTTTGGTCAGAAAACATAGACTCGGACTGTAGAGTGGAGTTTCCCGAGTTCGGTTTCGGCTCCCCCTCAATTCAAGCATTGGACGACTACTCCCCCTAAATTCGAAGGGTTGTTCGTGGCTTGGTTCGAATTGCTCAAACGGGCTCGCAAGCCAAGACATCATCTATCGTCACAGGAACAATGCTCCCATGGGAGTTGATTCTCTATAGTCATACAAACAACCAGGGCAGTCATTTCCTTTCACAAATAATCTTCCACATGCATCACAACAATTATAGCCCAAAACATCTCATGATAAGACCATTTATAGGAATAGCAGAACCACAACTGTGACACTTGTATGTTATGAATGCAGAAGGTCCATGACCATCATTCATAGGATCTCCAGTTCTTCCACAGACATCACACATACGACAAGAGGGGCAAGTTTAAGGACGAGGAGAGCCGGTGAGATGTGAATCAATTATAAAAGTTCGGGTCGAATCTTAAGCAGTTCTCAAGCTTTAACATCAACACCTCAAAAACCGTTTGTTCTCTTTCAAAGAATACAGACAGAGGCTCGTCAGTATCCACGGTGACACAAATCGACTGCTCGGTTCGGCTCTAGAGCACATAGTCAAATGCTGTGGGCCGCGAGCAGAGACCGGGAAGCGGGAGTGGGAACAAGCATCGCCGGCAGAGATTCATCCTCGCCATGGAGGGTCGGTCGCCAAGAAAATCGACCAGGCAGCGGCAGACGGCGAGTTGCTGCGACCGACGGTGTTTCTCTGCGGTCATCGAAGAAGGACCCGACAAGATTCTTGGGACAGCGACAAACGAAACTCAACAGAGACGAACCAATCGGAGCCGCTTTCTTCGTCTATCTGCGTGAAGCCATCGCAATATTTCACACACTCCTCTCGAGTAATTGTATGGAGAGTCCAATTTTGCCCGAGAAAATTGAGAGATTTGAGAAAATTTCAAATGGCGATAGAAGCCATAAGAATTGGGAGATTTTGCCTGTAAAAGAGAGAAAAAAAAACTCCAAAAAATAATGAGATAAGAAATATAAAAAGAAAACGATAAAAAAATATAAAACGCTAAAAAGCAACAAAAACGGCTGGCATTTTTTTTTTATTTTTTTTTTATTTTTTTTATTTTTTGAAGAAACACGCACAGCAAAAACATACAGATAGGAAAGAAACAAAACAAAAACAGGGACGTATATTTCTTAAGGTGTGGGCACGGCTTAACAAAAAACTCCATATCGAGAATAAATTTCACATAAAAACAGAAACAAATTTTACTAAAGCGTGGGCACGGCTTAGAAATGAACTCCAAACAATAGAAACAACGAGACAAAAAAAAAAAATGACAATAGGACTGACACGCACATAAACTCATTACGAACACACCAAAATCAATAAGAATTATATCAACGCATGAATATCAAAACCGTAAATATAGACTTCACAATCATAATGCACGTCAATCTCATAGTCACCCAATTTTTCCAAACTCGCGAACTCACTCCACAGAAAGCACTACTCATTCAAAGACATAGAAGATAGTTCCATAATTCACACATCGCACAAAGAAACAAGATCATAGCTTTTACATTCACCAAGTATGCATGTCCTAATTATGCCTAAAAAGAATGCCTAAAAAAGTACAAGAAATTTAAAAAGAACGTGAACGGTATAATCAAAGTTAGCACAAAAGAAATAATGACACACTTAACACCTTTACATAGACTGAAAAATCGCACTTTATTTTTTTATTTTTTTATTTTTTTTGCCATGAAGGAATAATGACAATGGGGTAGCTTTCACACTAAACCAAAGGTAGCCTTCTTTCTACATGATCATACCTCTTTCAACATATTTTTAATTATAGAAGAATTCGGTCACAAGGATTAGCTGCACTC